TTCTTGGCAGGAACAAGTTATGATAGAATACGTCTTGTTTATCTCGACGCAATGGGCGGAATAGCTATCCCAATGCCAAAAATATTCACGATGTTCAGTAGCTTTTCGATGGCTTCCCTTGCATTACCGGGTATGAGTGGTTTTGTTGCAGAATTGATAGTCTTTTTTGGAATAATTACCAGCCAAAAATATCTTTTAATGCCAAAAATACTAATTACTCTTGTAATGGCAATTGGAATGATATTAACTCCTATTTATTCATTATCTATGTCACGCCAGATGTTCTATGGATACAAGTTATTTAATGCCCCAAACTCTTATTTTTTTGATTCTGGACCGCGAGAGTTATTTGTTTCGATCTCTATCTTTCTACCCGTAATAGGTATTGGTATGTACCCGGATTTCGTTCTTTCACTATCAGTTGACAAGGTCGCAGTTATTCTATCTAATTATTTTTATAGATAGTTTTCATGAATAAAAAAAAAAAAAATCCTCTGATGTTTTAAATCGTTTGTTCTACAATGAAAAAAAAAAGAAGGATTTTTTCTTCTCTTAAGTTAAGTAAAAGAAAAAAATGAATTTTAACCCGATAATATGTTTGGTCTTTGTGAGAACTATGTGAATCACTACACTACTTGATTCACATGGTTCTCGCCGGTTCATACAAAGTTTTTTATATATGCTGGACTCTGTTTGTATTGGTAAGGGTCTTTCTTGAATTCAATTAGACGTTAACATAAATGAGCCATAACTATGTAGACCTATTCCTAATAGATTGACCCCAAAATAGCATATCCAAATTATAAGAAAGCCTATAGACGCCACAATTGCGGAATTTGTATCCTGCAAATTTTTATTTGTTCGAGTATGTAAATAAATTGCGAATACGATCCAAGTAACAAATGCCCAAGTTTCCTTTGGGTCCCAATTCCAATATGATCCCCATGCTTCATTAGCCCATACTGCTCCCGAAAGAATACCGATGGTTAAAAAGATAAACCCTAGACTAATAACACGATAACTCCAATAACCCAATTGTTGAATCAACTGGGACCTGTAATAATTCTTATCCGAAAAAAAAGAAGTATTTTGTAAAACATCGTTTCTTTCATTCATGTATTGGATTTTACCAAAAGTAAATAACTCATTTAAGAAACGATTACTTTTACAAAGAATTTTTCTGTTCTTTCGAAATGTAATGATTAGAAGTGCTACTGATAATAATGATCCACATAAAAGAGCTGCATAGCCCAATATCATCATACTTACGTGCATTATTAACCATTCGGATTGGAGAGCGGGTACCAATATTGCGGATTGATGTATTTCAGTTAAAATACCTGAAGTAGCAAAGCCTTGGGTAAAAATAGCACTTGGTGCAGTTATTGTGCTTAAATGGTTTTTTTTTTTTTTGAAATACGGAACTATATGAATAATGGAGAAACTCCATGAAAGAAATATTAATGATTCATATAAATTACTTAGGGGGAAATGTTCCGAATAAATCCAACGAGTGACTAACAATCCTGTGATACAGAAAAAAGTAGTTATCATGCCTTTTTCTGATGAATCATATAGTTTTACGATTTCATCAAAAAATAAGGTTATCAAATGAATTGTAATTACAATTGAAACCATCGAAAAAGAAATATGAGTTAATATATGCTCTAAAGTTAAAAATATCATAAAAATCTTGAATCCCTTAATCTTAATTAAGAAATTCAAATTGGGAACTGAATTCATTATATGATCTATTGTATCTCTTCTCGAAGATGGCATGCCGCTACTCGGACTCGAACCGAGATGCTTTAGCACTGCTTCCTAAGAGCAGCGTGTCTACCGATTTCACCATAGCGGCTTGCTCGAACTCATAATAGCCTATTCATATTCAATCGTCGAGATTGGAGAAGTAAATTCAATGCAATGTTTTTTAGGAAAGATTGAAACTGATAAATCCAAATTCATTCAAATAGGGATTTGAAGGTTCATTATTTTCATTTAGGGTGTCAGTTTATTAAATTAATTTAAGACTTTCGTGTAGGTTATGCTTTCCTGAGATTGAACTCTTGTAACTAGATAGTTCTACCGCGATCGAACTCAAAAAAAATGCATTTTTACAAAATAGACCCCATTTTGTTTGAATTATTTAAAAATGACACATTTTTCGTACACAATATCCTAACTAAGCTAACGGCTTTTTTGATTGGGTTGAAAGCGAAAGATATATGGGAGATCTATATAATAATTTAGAGAAAGGAAATTAAGAAGTCCGAAAGTTACACAAAAAGTTTTAAAAATGGAATCAATTAGTATCAACAATTCATTAATTTTAACTTAGCTAAAGATTTTCTATTTGCTCTTCTATAGATATGATATAGAGAGAAAAAAGAATTTTCTTATTTATTATTGGAATTGTAACAAATAGTTCGATGGGGAAAATAAAACTCCCCACCTTGGAAATGAAAAAACATACTAAAAGAGGGTTAAAACCTTGTATCCTGTCTTTATTCTTTTTTCAAACAAAAAAAGTATTAGTTGTAGAATTCATTAAACAGAAGAATTCTTATTCCACATATCATAGGAGAAAAGAAAGGTCCATTTAGATTATTTCAACGTTTTATTACTTATTTGTTTGTCGCACAAAAAAACTTTTTGAATTTCCGGTCAAAAGAGATTTCCCTAACGAAAAAGCTTTTAACGCTGCCCAATATCCCTTCCGTTTCCAAATATTTTTACGAATACGCTTTTTTGATATAGAAGTACGTTTTTTTGGAACTGCCATTTAAAAATGAAGAGGTTACTCATTATTATAGTTGGATGTGAAAGACATCTATTGTTCAAAACAAATTGTTCTTTTTATTCTCTAGATAATATTATTTTCATATAAATGTAGATAGGTGAAAGATATGTGAAAATTGCATAAAATATTACTAGAAGAAGAGGATATATGATTTTTTTTTTCAAAAAGAAAATGGTTTTTCTAGTCCATACAATATTCGTAAGAAAGAAAAATTTGTATTGATTGATATTGATACTTTTATTTCTCTTTCTTATTCAAATCTATAGAATACGCCGTGTCCTAGCAATTAAATTGGTTGAACTCTATAACATAAAGAATCAAAAAGACTCTACATTTCTATTTCTGCCTATTTTCGTCGTTCTACATTTAATTTACATGTACTAAAATACATCGAAAGGGTTAAGAACCCCACCCTTGTTGCTTACTGAAAAACTTGAATCTTTAATGTTTTTTATTTTATTAGACTGGAAATAAATCAATCAATTCCATAATGAACTAGTTAATGATTTTGAATAAACTACCTAAAATAGCGAGTTCTTATTTCATTAGGCCAGGTTAGTGATCTTAGTTAATCTAATCCTATGATTCATATTAGTATTTTTAGTGTAATTCTTTATACTTGCTCTATGACTAGAAATTTTTTAATAATCATTGAATTTTTCATTTTCGGTATCTTCACTAAATATATTAGTGACTAACTAAGTATTCACGTTTTACGAGTTCTTTAGTTTGACCAATTGTAACTTCTTGATTTGAATAGTTGAAGTATTTAAGAAAGACTCACAATAAACAATAAGTAAGAATATAAAATTAGAAAATTCTATTTAAGTTAGTACATATCTTGATTTTTTTATTGACTCCTTTCAAAAGAGATAAGATCCGGTGAATCGGAAACACTTAATTAAGAATTTTATTTTTTATGGAACAGACATATCAATATGCGTGGATAATACCCTTCGTTCCACTTCCAGTTCCTATGTTAATAGGGGTGGGACTTCTTCTTTTTCCCACGGCAACAAAAAATCTTCGTCGTATGTGGTCCTTTCATAGTATTTTATTGTTAAGTATAGTCATGATTTTTTCGATTGATCTGTCTATTCAGCAAATAAATAGCAGTTCTATCTATCAATATGTATGGTCTTGGATCATCACTAATGATTTTTCTTTAGAATTCGGTTACTTAATTGATCCACTTACTTCTATTATGTCAATATTAATCACTACTGTTGGAATTATGGTTCTTATTTATAGTGATAATTATATGTCTCATGATCAAGGATATGTAAGATTTTTTGCTTATATGAGTTTTTTCAGTACTTCCATGTTGGGATTAGTTACTAGTTCTAATTTGATACAAATTTTTATTTTTTGGGAATTGGTTGGAATATGTTCGTATCTATTAATAGGGTTTTGGTTCACACGACCTGTTGCGGCAAATGCTTGTCAAAAAGCCTTTGTAACTAATCGTGTCGGGGATTTTGGTTTATTATTAGGAATTTTAGGTTTTTATTGGATAACAGGTAGTTTNACACCGAGAAGAGTGGTATCATTGGGATTAGTTACTAGTTCTAATTTGATATAAATTTATATTTTTTTGAGAATTGGTAGGAATATGTTTATATCAATTAATAGGGTTTTGGTTCACACGGCCTGTTGCCGCAAATACTTGTCAGAAAGCCTTTCTAACTACTTGTATAGGGGATTTTGGTTTATTATTAGGAATTTTATGTTTTTATTGGATAACAGATAGTTTTGAATTTAGGAATTCATTCGAAATATTCAATAACTTGATTTATAATAATGAGATGAATTTTTTATTTGTTACTTTGTGTGACATTCTATTATTTGTAGGTATAGTTGCTACCTAAATCTAAACAATTCCTCCTTCATGTATGGTTAANATTTATAATAATGAGATGAATTTTTTATTTGTTACTTTGTGTGACATTCTATTATTTGTAGGTATAGTTGCTACCTAAATCTAAACAATTCCTCCTTCATGTATGGTTAATTTGCTACCAACTCTTTTGAGATTGTGGTTTTCAACTTGTTTTTCTTTATATATATCCTTTTTTCATGTGAAAATGAAATTTGAATTCACAACGTGCAATATCAAAGTTTGTTTATAAAACATGTTCTCAAAAAATTCTATTGCACTGTNGTGAAAATGAAATTTGAATTCACAACGTGCAATATCAAAGTTTGTTTATAAAACATGTTCTCAAAAAATTCTATTGCACTGTGTGTTGTTTTACATATATAAGCTTTTAACAATAGTTAGATTGAAAACTAGCTGAGAAGAGATGCTTTTACGCTATAAGCTTAGAGAACATTGCATCATCACAAATATATAATATAGGGGGTCTGATTAGTGATGTCGTTTAAAAGGTTCAAGGGGGTGTTTTTACAGTCTTTACAAAGGGACAGGACAGCGCCATAATTAATCTTTAATCCAATTAAGAGAGAGAGAGAGAGAGAGAAACAAGAAAGGTTATGATTGGCAGGAATATCCACCACCCCATGTGGACACCAATTTGGCTGCTGTTCCTTGGCTTGGCTGCCTTGGCCAGCATGACTAAGAGTCTAAGAGACCCCTCAGGGATCGTTTTCTTTGAATTTATGTAAATTGGGTAGAACATAATCCATTTCTTTATATTAGGTATATCCCCATCTATGTTTCCTATCAAATCAAAATGACAGGATTTGAAATCATCACTCAAAACAAAAACCCTCAACTCATCTAAAAGAAAGTTTAGATTTGCAATCNTATACTCCCCACAAGAGTATCCTAGACCTAGGTTGGAGGGTCTTGATTAGTGTGCTATTGATGAGAAGAGAGTTAATTGGTTGGAAAGGCCTTTTTGAGATGGATGAAATTACGGTCGCGGTGTTTGAGTGTAGTAAGGAAAAAGCTCTAGAACCGGATAGGTTCACTATGTGACTATGGCTTTATTTCATGAATGTTGGGATATGATAAAATATGATTTGATGGAAGACTTCAAGGAATTTTTTAATAGTGGGGTGATTAATGCAATTACAAATGCTACATTCACTTGCTTAATCCCCAAAAAAAAAAAAAAAAATAAATTCCTTGAAGATCAAGAATTTCAAGCCAATAATCTTGTAACAAGTTTGTATAAAATCATTGCAAAAGTGTTATCACTAAGGCTTAGGGAATGGTTGAGTGATACCATCTCAGGGTATCAAGGTATTTTTATTAAAAGGAGACAAATTTTGGAAGTTGCTCTAGTGCCCAATGAGATAGCGGAAGATTATAGAGCTAAAGGGTTGGAGGGTTTTGTGTTTAAGATTAATTTTGAAATGACTTATGATCATGTGAATTGGAATTTCTTGGACTTTGTATTGGAATCTAAAGGCTTTGGTTGAGATTCAAGGGTGTTTGCATTCCATGAACTTTACGGTTATGTTGAATGGTAAGCCTCGAGATAAATTCAAGGCATCAAGAGGACTTAGACAAGACGATCCTCTTTCACCGTTTTTGTTTACTACAATGGCGGATGGTTTGAGTAGACTAGTGATAAGGGTTGAGGAGTTTCACTTGTATGACNGAGAGGACTTAGACAAGATGATCCTCTTTCACCGTTTTTGTTTACTACAATGGTGGATGGTTTGAGTAGACTAGTGATAAGGGTTGAGGAGTTTCACTTGTATGACGGATTTATGATAGAGAGGGATAGGATATCTGTTTCTCAATTGCAATTTGCAGCTGGCACTATTTTCTTCTCTTCGGGGGATGAGGAGAAGTTTTTGATTGTTAAAAAAGTTATTGTTGTTTTTGGTTTGGTTTATGGTTTTAAAGTTAACATGGAGAAAAGTTTGAATGTAAAAATAAATTCTATTCAAGATAAGTTAGATATGTTGGCAATGGTCCTGAGATGTTTAGTGGGAGGGTAGCCTCTGAAGTACTTAGGTTTGCCTTTAGGTGGTAATCCATTCTCTATCACTTTTTGGGATCCGATTATTCAGAAAGTTAGGAAAAGGTTTAATGAGTGAAAGAAGGCTGACACTTCTAAATGAGGTAGAGTCACATTGGTTCAGTCTATTTTGGCAACCATTCCCATATATTTTTTGTCTGTTATCAAGATGCCTTGTGGGGGTGGCAAAGAGGATTGAGGAGATGATGAGAGATTTCCCATGTGAAGGAAAAGGGGAAGGTAAAAAGGACCACCTCATTTGTTGGGAGGTGGTATCTACGCCAAAAATAAAGGAGAGCCTCTCGATGGAAAATTTGGTGTCTAGAAATGAGGCTTTGGTCGGTACCATGAGGCTTTAGCCTCTCGACTCTAAAGATTTCCTTTGGATCAAGATTCGCCGTAACATTTGGTTATTAAAAGTAAGTATGGCCCTAATGGACGGGNCTTATAAGAAATACATTTGCCAGAAGTTAGCAACCAAGTCCCAAACAGTATGACATGATTCAAGTGAAGATAGATAACTGCATCTACATTCTGAAGAAGCTAATATGCAATCAGTTCATCACAGGCACGAACAACAGCACCTAATAACTCTTTTAGACTTGGGCTTAGGCTTGGGCTTGGGCTTGGCCTCAGCCTTGGACGGGTACAGGGGAAGCGGGGACGGGGACGGGGATTAAAAATTTTTCCGTGAACGAGGATGGGGGTGAAAATTATACCCGTTAACGGGGATGGACAAAGGTTTTTTAAGCGGGTACGGGGATGGAAACTATACCCCTTACCCCCGCTTCGGTCCACTGACATCCCAACTTTGAGGTTCCCTATGAAATGAGGCGTGTAAGGGAGCCACTACGAATAAGAAGTTCCGGGAGTTACAAAGGAAACTTCGAGCTCATATTGGTCATGGGTTGAGAACGGGAATTGAACTCTATGAGATCTAATCTCCCATTATTCCTCAATAGCTCAGTGGTAGATCGTTCGTTTGTTAACTGACTGGTCGTAGGTTCAATCCTACTTAGAGAGATTTGATTATTTTAAAATTAAAGAATTTAGAATAAAAGGGCTACCTTTGACTGTTAAGAGTAGGTAATTCATTCCCTGTACACTAGGATAACTTATGTTCCCTCTTGTACCCTTTTTATGAATACAGAATGATCAACATTACTTCTTTGAAAACCCATCTATGACAACGAAACCCAAGAAGTGAGACAACCTTCCAAACACCAACACAAAGAAAAGGATGGGCAAAAAAAATCTTTAACTAGAACATTGGCATCTCCATTGAAAACTTTGATTACACAAGAACGAAAGAAAAGAAAGATAGAGGATAGTATGACGGCTCCATTTGTATGCTCATAACATAAAGCATTAAGATACAAAATAGAAATCCTTGGGCCAAAGCAATAATGAAGGAGGGCAAAACTTTGGTTACAAGAAAAAGAATGAAAAGAAAGAGAAAATATTATTAGGGTTCCATTAGTTTTAGCATAATGCACAAAGATGCAATATATAAACCATTCATAGGAGGGAAAAACAAAAATGAAAAATGACTAAACCACCCCTAAAACCAAACTACTACGTCCTTTTAGGTTTGAAAATATGTGTTGAACATAAAGCTTTTAGGGAAGAAGTCGAGGATTGGCATAAGAAGGTAATTTTAATGGATGGGAGGGATATAAGTTTACGAAGAAATTGAAGTTCTTATAACAAAAGTTGAAGGTTTGGAATAAAAAATAGTTCGAAGATATCAATATTTTACAAAGAAGAGGATTTTGGATAGAATTGAAGATCTAGATAAAATTTAAGGAGGTGGTGTACTAAATGAGAATTTATGAAAATAAAGATAGTATCTTAGGAATAAGTTTGAAAAGGTGGTGTTTAAAGAGGAGATTAGTTGGAAGTAAAAATCAAGAGTTATGTGGGTAAAGGAAATGGATAATAATTCCAAATTCTTTCACAGTAGCAAATGGGAATATGAAAAAGAAGCTCATTGATAAATTGGAACTTGAGGATGGTGTGTTTATTAAGGTGGAGAAGGCAATTGAGAGAGATTATTAGGTTCTTTTCTAAGTTATACTCCCCACAAGAGTATCCTAGACCTAGGTTGGAGGGTCTTGATTAGTGTGCTATTGATGAGAAGAGAGTTAATTGGTTGGAAAGGCCTTTTTGAGATGGATGAAATTACGGTCGCGGTGTTTGAGTGTAGTAAGGAAAAAGCTCTAGAACCGGATAGGTTCACTATGTGACTATGGCTTTATTTCATGAATGTTGGGATATGATAAAATATGATTTGATGGAAGACTTCAAGGAATTTTTTAATAGTGGGGTGATTAATGCAATTACAAATGCTACATTCACTTGCTTAATCCCCAAAAAAAAAAAAAAAAATAAATTCCTTGAAGATCAAGAATTTCAAGCCAATAATCTTGTAACAAGTTTGTATAAAATCATTGCAAAAGTGTTATCACTAAGGCTTAGGGAATGGTTGAGTGATACCATCTCAGGGTATCAAGGTATTTTTATTAAAAGGAGACAAATTTTGGAAGTTGCTCT